GGTCTTAAAGGGTTAAAAAGCAGAGCTGAGAGAAAGTAACAGTGGGGGCGGAGCCTAGAGCAGCACAGAGGAAAGTGCAGAGTCGAAGGCTGTAGCTGCTAGCTCTCTGCTACGCTGCACCTCAGCGGGACCTCTGCACCGTGTTCGTGCTGTTGGAGCGTTTTTAATGACATCATCTGACCAATAACACGGGAGCTGTGTGGTTACTGTACTGACAGACGGCGGCGGAGGCGGAGCTCCAGTTTTCAGTGAAATTCTAGGATTTTATTTGGATGTTTCTGAGGAATAATTAGCAGGTGTCTGTGTGAGGTTCACATACCTAAGCTAGCTAGCGTTAGCTAATAGTTATAAACAAGCACCAAGAAAGGTTCCACAAATGCTAACGTTCACTCCAGTGCTAACGTTCACTCCAGTGCTAACGTTCACTCCAGTGCTAACGTTCACTCCAGAAGCCCATGGCTGACAACATGGTGGCTAATTCCATCTTTTATATACAGTCTTTGCAGTGTCCTCTCTTTTGAGCCTCTCAGTTATTTCCTGTTACGACCCCACGCTCCCTATAGTCTCATTTGTCTGTTAAATTTTTATTTTAAGTACATCTCTGCATGACATTGTATCCTTATTAACATTAAAGAAAACAAAAGAAACTTAGATCAACTTCAATCAAAGAATATCTTTAACTTTTTTTTTTGTCTGAAAATTTGTCTGAAAGTTAAGAAAATAAAACCTTATTCAAACTAAAAACATTTGACTGACTTGAACCATTTGCTTCTGAATAATAAAATTAAAGAAAATCAATAAATGCATTTAAATTGATCAGCAACATTAAGTACAGGTCCTCAAAAACTCACTCGGGCCTCCTCAAACATATAAAACACTTTAACAGAGTCAGAGTGAAGCCGAGCGCTACAGACGCGCCGCCACATTTCCTCGTCTTAGCTTTAGAGACTTTTGTTTGTCCCGTCATCTGCGCCCGTCTTTTCGTCACTGTTAAATATTTTTCTTGAGTTTGTTTGCTGCACTTTGTATCTCCTGCTGTGTGCGCACGCTCGGTGCAAAAAACCCTGCCACCTGCTGTAGTGGATGTGCAATTACACTTTATTCTAGTACAGCAAACCAAGCCCGTTCCCGGCGTCAGCATAATGTTTGTGATCTGTTGTAGATGGGCTGCTGAGCAGGATTGACTACACTGGATAAGACTTCAGTGTACGTGATGTTAGCCGTGGATGCTGATCTGGGATCTTTGGCTGCTTTCGTATAAACCTGTGTTGTGGAGCTCGTTTGTGCTGCCAGAGCAGCTCTGGTGGGAATGATTTTGTAAAGCTGGACTAAGTCGCATAAAACACTTTGACTGTGTTCGGCTGTAACAGGTCAATCAAAGTGGTTAAATCAGTGAATTTTGTGGATTTACTGATGCATGTTGATTCCCTCGTGGTCGCTCGGCCTCTCGTGCTGCTCGTTTCCTCTACATGATTTCCTCTTCAGCTCCATCCACT